CACCTTTTACCGCTGATATAGTACAGTTTATACAACAACAGTCAAATCCACATTATAGGCTGTGCTCCTTTTGTGCCTTGAATCGTTTGTGTTTTCGTGTATTGGTTTTCTTTGCAATATAAATTAGGGTGGCCTCACAATGCCGTTCTCGTCCTTGTTGTTGTCGCTTTTAGACAATGCCTGCTGAATATTAACAATCCGGGAGTCGGCGGCACGGACGTAATTCACCACAAATGTATTTCCGCACCGAAAAATCGGGACGCCCTAACTATGGTTTGGGGGAGGGGGGGGTCAGCGATCGCGTTAAGACGCCCGTGACGTTTCCCATTTGACGTTCTGCGCGACGACAGCATTACTGTCTGTAGGCAGCGATGTGCACAGAGGGCCCACGTACGTGAGCCGAACTCCTTTCGCACCGTTGGTAGCGAAGCGTGCAGTTGGGCGGGAACGTCGCGTTATTGCTCTCACGCGAAGCGGCACTGGCGTCACCATTCTTCATCTTCTGCTGGACCGGCGGGCTACGGGGCTGGCAGGGCAGGGGGGTTGAGAGTTAGCGTGTGGTGGTGTTTTGTGGCACGTGCGGGGCTAATGCGCCGTTGCAGAGACACGAGCGGCACCCAGAAGCACACTTTGGAATAAAGCCATGATACGGGTTTTTTTTTTAGGGTTAGATCGCGTAAATATATTAATGTGTCGTTATAGCCGCCACCACCCGACACAGCCAATTAGTAAGGTTTGTCACGTAAACAGAACGTGCCAATTCGTTGCTAGTACAGCACACCGGTGTGTTGCAGAGAGCAAAGCCACAACATTTACAATCTTAAGTTACGACGTTTCGCCAGTAATTACAACTAGCTTCATCAGGCGTGGCCATCACAAATGTCACAGCCACTCGTGTTGTCCCCTCTTCGTGAAGCTGCTCGGTCATCCTCGACCAGCCGCGTGACGTGGATGGGGATAAAAGAAGGCAACACTGAATGACATCCATCGTCCCCCGGATATTTAGTTTTGTTTAAGTCGGCCTGTTATCTCATTACGATCCCGTCGAGAGAGAGGGAGAGAACGAGAGACAGGGTGGGCCGGATACACCGACTTGTTTGGTTAGCGCTGGGAGGCATGGTTGTCGCCAGCATCGACGTTCACAGGCGTATTCATTCGTTCATAAAGCAGAGATGTTTACATTCACCATTCACTCCACCTCACCTTGCAATCACCAAGCCGGTAATGTCACTATTGAAACCGTGGAGTTGCTTGTTTACTGTTCCATGTTGAAGCAAAGTCATATCATTATGAGACCTCCTTTGCCAGTAGCAAGATATAGCAATAGGTTTTTACCCTTTTATCTGGCACCAAAACTGACACCTTTATACAAGGGATCATGTTTACAATAACCACAACACAAGCAGTCAAAATGCAAAAAAAGAGACAACTCTGATAATGATATGCACTGTCCTTGAAATTGATTGGTCCACAAGGACAGTGCATATCATTATCAGAGTTGTCTCTTTTTGTTTGCATTTTGACTGCTTGTGTTGTGGTTATTGTAAACATGATCCCTTGTATAAAGGTGTCAGTTTTGGTGCCAGATAAAAGGGTAAAAACCTATTACTATAACAAAGTCATATCACGTGGCTTGGAGGCCACTGTCCATTTATTCCCAGCATTTGTATGCCCATCATAAACCCATCATCCTTCCGGGCTCAATAAAATATGTACCGCTTAGTGGGGAAGTCATCGGCGGGTCCTCCTATGTGTATTCTCTCCCCCGCCATAGGACTGTGGAATTTCCGCCATTACCTCAGTGCTGTAAACAGGATATGAGCACCGCCCCCTCAATGCTCGATTTAATAGAATATCAGTTTGACTTCACGAGTGTGTTTATAATGCAATGTAGCAGATTGCATAATGCACTATAGTCACATCAAGCCCTGGTTTGTTCTCTGGCCCAATTGGCAATTGTAGACTCCGCGTGTCCCTTAGGTTGACTTAAAGTAAACATTTTGATTTAAAGATTTCGTGACTGCAGGGATTCATATTCTTGGTTCTTTCAGTAAAGTCACGTTGAAGGGAAACAATAAAATAATACAAATATAAAACAATAAAATTCTCACGACGTTCCGACTGCAACACAAGCAATCATCATCAGGTGTGAAAACCACAGCAAGAAATTTTGAAAAAAGTGGCGTTTTTTTTTACGTTAGCACCACGGAGAGCGATTTGGCAGTTATTCAGATGGTCGAGTCCATCTATGTTAGGAAAAGAGGAGGGGGGAGACGAAAATAATGGATGCGGTCTGATTGTTCACGCTTACGGTGGCTTTCAGACCGCATCCATTATTTTCGTCTCCCCCCTCCTCTTTTCCGAAAATAGATGGACTCGTCCATCTGAATAACTGCCAAATCGCTCTCCGTGGTGCTAACGTTAAAAATAACCGCCACTTTTTCAAATTTTCTTGCTGTGGCTTTCACACGTGATGATGATTGCTTGTGTTGCAGTCGAAACGTCGTGAGAATTTTATTGTTTTATATTTTTTATTATTTTATTGTTTCCCTTCTACGTGACTTTAAAGTAAACAGTTAAGCCATTTTTATTTTACCAGGTCAGGCCCACTGAGCTATATAGCTTTTTTTCCAGAAGCGACCTGGTCACAAATGATAGCTGTATGTTGAACTTCTTTCACACCGTGCGTAGTCAACCTGCTCATCGGCAGTGCATGAAAACGAGCTGTAAAAAAAATATGTAGCTCATTGAGCCTTAGCTGGTAACATGGTTTTAGTTTATGGTTCATGTGGACTTTAACAACACCTACCCCAACATTGGGTAAGAATAAACTGTAGCGATCCATCTCTGTTGAACATTTCAAGTGCTTTTTACTACATTTGGAAATTCAGTCAATGCCATGTTACATTTGTTGCCAAGCTAATGGAGATAAAACAATTAACACCTCTTGTGATTATATTAATTGTTGCTGTCATACAATTTCGGACCATGATTTAATCCAATAATTTATAGTTATTTTTTTATCTGTATTGTTTCATTTATATTATTTGTAGGTTAGTCTTTCTCATTTGTAAATTTCTGTTTGCTTCCTGGGCAAAATTAAAGAATTTTTATGCAAACAAAACCATAATTAATCACGTATCCAATTTGAATAATCTATCCTGAGCCTAAAAAATCGATATTCAACAATCAATGTATCGCTACATAGGTGCTTGCCATCAATAGCTTTTATTTTGCGAAACGGCTATGTTGGTTTTGTGGATGGGTCAGATTTTGCCACGTGTCATATATGTTTCAAAAGAATGTGTTCATTATTCTCGCTCACACATGTTCAAATCAAAGGGATAGCCAGTTGGTGTGGCTTTCCTACTTAGCAGTGATGTCTCTCGCTCTCGCTCTCTTATATGCTGCATTGTACTCTCTAAACGCAACCCACCTGCCTGAATGTAGCGTACCGCATGCTTAATGGGAACAATTCGAAACGTACTTTATGCATGATTACATTTATTTTGCATGCACGCACACGTTAGAACAGAATTTTAAGGGCATGACTGCCTTACTAAAACATTTTAAAAGGCACCTGCTCGTAATTATATGACATTTTGGACTGAGTCTTTTGTTTGTAATTGCAAACTTTTTTTGTTTAATGAATTGGACATGTATTACGACTTTAAACATTAATACTGCCACAAAATACAAAGTGTTTAAATAATGTGCATCCATGCACAACTGTTTAGAGGATAGATATACGGGAGATGCTGGATATAAGCGCACCCCCATTGGGAGCAAGGGAAGCTGTGCTTATATCCAACATGTGCTTGTATTTGAAGTTGTCCTTTGCATTCCTCCAACCAGTATAATATAATGCACGTGTTGCTTATACCAGAACTGTGCTTAAGTTGCTCCATACATATTATACATAGCGATCATTGCTCCCAAATGCAAACAAAAAAACTTGGAAGAATCCCCTTGGCAGAGTGATGAGACTCGGTGAGGCTTTCTTGGGTAAACGAGTGTAACATCATCGTCTTCTGATTTTGCATATGCCTGATGAAGATGAAGAGCAATAACCTCAATTTCACATTCAGGTGGTCAAGCCAAATAACCACGTCAGAAACAGCGGAGTGTATCCACTGTGATGTCTCCTAAGCTTTTGTGGATCGGGCTATGCTTTGTTATATGTTGTACGGTCTGTTCTGGATGACCACAGTCGCACAATACTGTAGAGTTTTATTTATTTATTTTTCCATTTGCATCTGCCATGGTTTGTGCAGTGGATGCAGTTTAAGGTGGACCATGAGCTTCGTGGAAGATCAAACCCATGGATCTTCTGTGTTGAGTAGTGTAATGTAATTAATCAACACAATGTGTGCTTACATCCATCATCGCCTATATCGGCATATGGCTCGATATATTCCAATATCAAGGCAACACATTCCTAATGATTACATCACATTACCATCTCACCATGAAAAATGTTGCGAGTTGATCCGCGATTTAGGTTTATAATTGAGTTTGATGTTGTAGACTTTAATCCTTGAGCATAACCATGTATAGGTAGCACGGTCGAAGCACCTCCAGCATGCTATATCCGTGTCGCTGATTATGTGTGCACAGATGGTCTCCAGTTCACGGTGACCTTATCGTAATAAAGGTCACCGCAAGAGGCACACGGATGAAGGGACTATATTGGGAGAACAACTGCAATTCAACAAAGTCTACCCACGGCATCGTTTGTTTGTACTGCAGACAAGCATACAGGATGCAAAATACAAAGTAATGTCAAATTTCGATTTAAAGCTTTCGTGACTGCAAGGATTAATCTTCTTTGGTTCTTTCGGTAAAGTCACGTAGAATGAGAATAAAATAATAAATTGATAAAATAAAATAACACAATAATATTCTCACGACGTTTCGGCCACAACATGAAGGCCGCTTGTGTTGTGGCCGAAACGTCGTGAGAATATTATTGTGTTATTTTATTTTATCAATTTATTATTTTATTCTCATTCTACATGACTTTACCGAAAGAACCAAAGAAGATAATGTCAAATTGTTAATACGTTTTAAAGATGGAGATTATTCAGCCTCAGTTTAAGTCAACTATTCATTCTCATTAGTAGTTCTTTTCAATGATAAGTATAATTTGGGCACGTAACTCCACAATCGTTCACGTTTTTCACGGCATGAAGCTGGCAAGTGTAAATAAACACGAACGTGATGGGGCTGTTTGACCTGTGACCTTGGCAAGACCACGGCTCACTCCCTGTGAAATCAAACGGAGAGTTTCATTGGTTCAAATTTCAATCAACACTTACGGCTCTGCAGTGCAAAACACAAGCATTCTACGTTAAGTTAACCCAAAAATATTGGAAACCATAATAATTAAGTATTAAATAGAGGGATTCTGCTAGGGTGTAATGGTAAGCACACTGAACCTGCAAGTCAGAGGTGGCGTCTGAAAAAAAAATAAGCTAATAGTTTAGTGGGCTTTATCTTGTAAAATAAAATAGTTTTAGTTGTATATTTTGTGATTTAATTTGCTACCTTTCTTATACTTTGCACTCCTATCGTGTTTTCGTATTGTTTGTTGCTGGACCATTCTGACCCACCTCAACTGGGCATCTGTGAGAAAAAAAAAGCTTTTCACTCATCGGATTCCTCCAGTTTAAACACATATTCTGATTCTGATTATTCTGATTAATCTGGCTGGTTCTTTCTCCTGGCGCGACAGTTGAAGTATTGCGCACGCCCACCCTACCCGTGACATTCTGGAGATTGTAATTCCAGCACGGGGGGAAAAAAATAGCACGCACCAAAAGCAGTGATGAATGGAATTTCGGCAACTTAAAGAAGGCATGGGAATTCAAGTGGGCTTGTGTGTTCCATCTGACCATGAGGTCCTTTTCTCTCATGCTATCATTTGTTAGCAGAAACTTCCCTCCTTCTCCTCCTCCTTTATGATCTCGTAGGGCAGTGTCTTTCTCGAATGGCTTGTCGTAGAAATGTTTCTGTAGGATGATAACGGCCATTTGTTATGGTTACTGTAAGATATACTGTGCGCAGTTACACTCATGAATAATGGTTGAATTGCGTGCTTAGCTAGGATAATAGTTTTTTTTGTGTGAATGCATTTACTCCACTTGTACAGAAACCTAAGAGGCTCACAGTGTTTATATACTGCTGTATACTGTATATATGAACATTATTATTCTTATTTTAAAATGTATATTGCATGTTGGAGGATTTAATGATCAAACTTAGTCCAATTGCTTTCTGACCTCTCCTTCTCACTCGGTGAGTATATTGGTGGCATCATCTTCTTTGGTTCTTTCGGTAAAGTCACGTATTCTCACGTATTCTCATTCTACGTGACTTTACAGAAAGAACCAAAGAAGATGAATCCTTGCAGTCACGAAAGCTTTAAATCGAAATGGTGGCATCATAATTAAAAGTGGTAAAATTAGATTGATTTAAATAACCATTTACGTTGTTGGATACATATGAACGCTATAGACTCCTCTGAAGTGCATACAAATATAATTTTAATTTGATAACAAAATTAGTTTAGACTTAATTTATTTTTTTATGTTGGTAGAGTGTCACATGCAAAAACATCAACCAGCTTCCCACTCCATCGAGCAAGTTACTAATTTCCTATTTACAGCATTGGTCAGTGTTGGTAAATTGTACATTCCCATGACAGGGACGGCTATTTTATTGGATAGCTCCTGTGGACTTCCCACAAAGCAGCATTTATTTTATCATGAATATCTGAGTTGACCCCAAATGGGATTGAACTCTAAATTTTCCATGTGTGGGGCCATGCATTCTCACCACTGCCTGATTGGATCACATGGATTTTCGGGCTTTTTTCATATAATTCTTGGAAATTAATTTAGATGTCCTCTGGGTTATATTTTTTCTTCCATAATTGCTTAAATATATATGAAATTAATTATTTATCTGCAAGCAGCTGTGCCTGCGTATGTGAAAATTAAAATACAGCACAAATTCCCCAGTAGATGTCAATACGATGGATCTATAGAGTTATATATTTAATCAACATGGCAACATGTCTTTGCATTTAAATAAAATTGGATACATTTTGTAAAATGCCCATGCGTTAGTAATTTTTTTTACAATATTAATGACACTAAATATATATCCACTTATTATTTATGTAAACCATTTTTGTGTATAGTTTTTTTTTTCATTTAAATGCTGTTGTATGGGCTTTGTTGTTATGCAGTGCAGCCAATTTACATTGTTGTACCGTTCAATGCTACAGCATCTACGCTACTCACCTTTATCGAACTGCACTGACCAGGGTGGTGAAGTATGGTCAAATAATCCTCACAACCCACGTGGCATCCTGCAGGTGGATTGACAAAAAAGATGCGTGATTTGATACTGTACAGAAGATAGCAATTATAACATTATCTTTTTTTAGTTTGAAATATGAATTTAATGCTCTGTTTATAAAACGTTAGTAGGTAGCTGACTGATGAAACAAAAACAAATTCAAAGGATATGCTTAGAGATGGGACTACTCATAGGGAGTTTGCTACATTAGTGTGCAGATTTAGGAACTTAATGCCACGAAGACCACCCATGTAGCCATACAAGTACCGTTAACAAGCTCCTATTAAAGCACACGGGGGGGGGAGGATGGTGTATTGTACACCACACCCAGCCATATGTTCCCGGTTTGTGTAACACCTCATCAGGGTACTCAGATTCTTGAAGCCACTTTCCAGCAACTGAAAATGCGACTGGGAAATGCACTCGGATCCACCCGGGTTCTTGTCACGGCACAATCTCACCACTGCGCCATTGCTTCCATAGTGTCATGCGTACTGCTGGGACAGGCGCTGTTCGCAAAACGCCTATTAAAGCTGCCATGTGCCATTGATGGTGGCACGTCTAGAATCATGCCTGCCTGCCTGCCTTTGTTTCTCCATTGCTGGTGTTAACACACCAGCGGCAGGTACTCATTTGAGGATGAATTGACGTAGGAAAAGTGCAAGACTGGTTTCAATATCGCCTGCTTGCGACATGCATGGCAGGAATCAAATCCACCACTTTATTCCCGCTGCCTCTATTCGTTTGTCACTGCTTCCCCCTGTCCAACACACATGGGGAACCCTCGCAGGAATACACACACATACACGTGAGAAATTAAGTTACGTTTAAACGTCATCAATTTAAATCCCCATGGGGTGATTTTAAAGCATGCTCTGGGTGTTTTTTTTTAAATCTTGAAATACAGTAGCTGTGGAATGTTCTTGGGTCTTTCGGCAAAGTCACGTAGATAGGTTCAAAGAAAATAATAAAAACTACGACGTTTCGATCGCAACACAAGACGACCGGTTGTGTTGTGATCGAAACGTCATAGTTTTTTTGTTATTTTCTTTGAACCTATCTACGTGACTTTACCGAAAGACCCAAGAATATGAATTCCTGCAGTCACGAAAGCTTTAAGTCAATCTGTGGAATGGTTGTACAATTATTTCGATCACAGCAATGAGTGCACATTTTCTGATTTCCTGAAAAAGTTAAATAGCAAGATAGTGGTGCGTATGCTATGGGAAAACTGCTTTAGCGCGTCAGATGCTTTGTTTTTATTTTGTAATGGTAAGGTACAATATTGCGCGTTCTATTAGTCAGTCACAAATCTATATTCCAGGTAAGAAAGTACCCCCTAAACGTATTTAATCATACAAAATGAAAGCAAGCATTCTCATGTCTTTTCGGTTTATATCTCGTATTGTTCAGCATTATGTCTGATATTTCCCTGCAAATGCCGGGAGCTTCTTCGGGTACAACCCAGAACCACATCGGAAAGCCCGATAGTGCAATCACGAGAACCTACCCAGTCGTAAACTACATAGATTTTCAAACGCTGAGGTTTCATTATTTTCCCATGCATCATATGTCACGTCACAGACTTGTATGTAATAATTCACGTTATTATAAAGTCGCATTTTTGTGCAAACAACCCACCCACAAACTTGCAATAACCTTTACGCCAAAGACAAAGATCCACCGTATAGCCTTAACAGACTGTTGGGGCAAGTGCTGTAAGCGAGTACCTATGAAGGACAGCACACCACACGAGGGGTGACCAACACCACGCCCGGCCGCCTTTGTCTCCCCAGTAACGATGTTTACACACTGCACCAGGTACTCATTTGAAGCTGAGTCGACCTAGGGGCGGCCCAGGACCGTTTCAAATAATCGTCACTGGTGTTGGCCATGAGCGGGAATCGAACCCGGGTCACCAGGTTCGTAGCACAGTGCGCTAAGCGCTACACTATAGCTTCCCACACACACACATGCACATTCAGTCAGGCTGATCTCTCAATGAGTTCAGGGCACAATTTGAAGAATTAGAGATTAGATTAAGGGTGAGAGTGATGTCGATGAGGAGAGGTAACCAGGAGCATTACTGGGTAGAGTAAAAAGCCCCAAGTGTCATCACTCAAAGGCACGTCTGCACAGAGTCTCCAAACACTCCGACCTAATGCGACTTTCCACGCAATTCATGCCAACCGTGAATGATGACCCCCCCCCCCTCTCGCACTTGCCCTGTGCACTTGTTATTTTGCGTCCAGCCTCAATGCACACACGTGCTTAACAGTTACTCTGCTTAAGTAAGAAGAGCACGAAAATGTACACATGTATGTTGGACTCTTATTCGCATTGTACATTGCCAGCCGCGCCAATCGGAGGTGGATGGAGTATGTATCGGAATATATTCCAGTGTATTGTTTTTATATCAGAGTATCGTTGATGTATTTATGCACATGATGTAAAGTCCCCTCCATTTGGTTTCAGAAAAACTATCAATAATACATTGTAAAAATAGTATTACTTCATAAATAAGTGTCTATGCAATTATCAACAACAAAAAACATCAAATTAAGACGTTATTTAATTCATCCGTCTGCTGGTCTGCTGAACCAACGTTTTCCGTCGGCATTTACTCAAGCATTTCATGAGAGGCTCGTCGCCTATAGCATTAAGAGCCCCAGTCGCGTTTACTTAACAGAACATAATTCTTCCGGTGAGATATGAAAGTCCAAATCTGATCAGTGGAGAGTTTCGCTTAGTAAACAAATGGTTTGGGAAAACACCAGTCCAGACAGTCCTTGGGTGTGATTAATTCAGATGTTGCTTTGCTATTATCATTATGGGATGCTGCTATGGATTAATGGTTTGCAGCTTCGATTTGATCTTTCCGGCGAGGCAGTTGCAAAATAATACGGAAAGTAAAACATCCCCCCCCCACCCCCCACTTCTGTCAGCTCAAAAGCATAAATGGATTCACCGCAGTTCGACAATTAGGATTCGTGTGTAGTGGGTCAAATGTGGGTGCTCCCACCTCTCCCAAGACATGACTAGCGCGGAAGAATAAGCCAAATACCCTCTAGCAGAGCTCTCTTGAGCGCCCTCTACTGGAGGCCTTTGTACCAGCAGTGCAGTGAACACAGTTGTGGGCATGGATATTTTTATTTTTATATACAGCGGAGTACAAACATTCATTCTACGCAACATTCTTGAATTGTTTATAAAGAACTAGCGGGAAGTACCCGGCGTTGCCCGGGCGAAAAGGGCAGACACACACATGGACTTACACACAGACATCGACCCACACACGTAGAAACACATCGACTTAGACGCACACACACACATATGGTTAAAGCCAGGGTGGATCGTTAGCAGGCCAGCCTAAATGTTTCCAACCGGCGAAGATGTTCCATTAGGTGGGTGCACATTTCGCAAGCGTACAGAAGGTAGGGAATTACCGTGGCCGAGAAGACCTGGAGCTTCATGCGGACCGAGAGACCAGGTAGCTTCCACACAGCGTAACGCAGCCGATGAAAGGATAATAGCGCTCAACTGATTTGGAGTGAGACCTCTGGTGTTAAACCAGAGCTGGTCATGAGCACACTGGCCAGGTATGGGAATCTCTCCAATCTCTCCACAACTGCTGCATCAGAAATTGTGAGGTGTGGGGGTGGATTGTCCGATGGTACAAAATACCCAGCCAGGTGCTTAGATTTGATGGGGCTGATGGTAAGGCGCCACCTCTTAGTGCCAAGCTCCAGGTTCAGCAGCAGTGCCTCCAAGTCCTCCTCTGAGTGAGCAGGATTCACCAGAGCATCGGCATACATTACATGGTTGATCAATAGGGAGCCATCCCTTGACCGTACCCGGGCATCGATCAGCCTCCCATTGTATCTGTACCATATAGTAATTCCTCCGGTACAGCCATTTAAGTCTTCACGAACTACATGGTGAAAATATATGTTAAATAATGTGGGAGCCAGAGAACATCCCTGTCGCACCCCAAGGTGTAGAGAGAATGGCTCTGACTGACGGCCACGAAGTTTGACGCGGGGCCGCTCACCATCATGAAGGTCCTTAAGGATCGTGACCAAAGGGTGAGGGACTCCGAAAGTATGAAGAACAACCCAGAGCCCAGGCCTACTGATGGTATCATAGGCCTTGACCAGGTCAATAAAGCACACACATTCACTCACACGCACACATGGACCTACAGACACGCAAAGAAATGGACTTACACGGACTCACATGGAACCACGGACACAAAGCGACTAACACACACGCCCATGGACTGACACACACAGACATATCGACTCGCACACACAAACACATGGACTCACACACGCATAGACATCCACTTTAGATACACACACATGGAGTTACACACACATATATGGACGTAGACACATACAGCGACACACACACATCGAATCACACAGATATACGTGGACTCACAGACAGATTGACGTAAACACACATATGTACTTACACACACACATATCGACTAAGACACACACACATGGACTTACACACACATACATAGACTGACACACACATTGGCCTACACACACATACACATATGGACTGTGTCACACAGACATCTACTTTAGATACACACACATGGATTAACACACACATATCGACTCACACACACGCATTGACTTACACACACACATCGAGTGACACACACACATGTATGGACTTACACACACGTGGACTAACAAACACACATATGGACTCAAACACACACACATCGACTCGCACACACACACACACCGACGTGCACAGCAATCCCCGATGATGGGACAGCTCTCAGTATCGCAGTACTCCGTATGAGTAAATGGCGTGACATGAGCAATGGGAACAATGGAAATGCATTGAAGAAATAAGCAGAAAGCAGTGTCAATTAAAGAGCAGCAGTACTCACAGGTAAGTTGAGAAGCAGGCTACAGTCTAGATTACAGACTGGCAGTACGCCGACTCAATGACATAAGCATTGCTGAAGTCGACATTAAAAGCTGGCAATACGGGCAGCAGCTGAAAAAGCAGAATACAGTCGACATGAAAGGCTGGGAGTACAATGAGTGAGGTAAAGAAGCAGGCAACAGATTATAGACTGGCATACACTCATAATGGTAAAAAGGGAAATTAGCAGTGTAGATAATAGAGTGGCAGTGCACTGACGTTAATTAGCAGGCAGCAGAGCACATGACAGACTGGCAATACGCCGTCGCAGCTTGATAAAAGCACAGCTAAAAAAGGGAATATGTATCAAGCTAATAATGAAAATTTAGTTTTGTGCACACAAACATAATTGTAATATCTGGCAACGTATGTGTTTCATAATAGTAAACAATGAACCCGAGTTCTTATCTGCACACAATTATTGTAATATGTGGCAACTTTTAAGTTTCATAATAGTAAGCAATGAACCAGAGTTCCTATGTGCACACAAAAATTATTATTGTAATATCTGGCAACGTATTTGTTTAATAATAGTAAACAATTAACCTGAGTTCTTAGCTTAAAAGAAGCAAGGGAATTTGTACTTGCCATAGGCTTGGTCAGGCCTAGGCCGGTGCGGAGCCTCCGTCCTGGCCTACATTGCCGAGGCGGGGGAGGTGGCACGTGGGCAGGCAGGGCCACTACCCCCACACCCATCCCCCCGCCCGTGCAATAATAATAATGGTATTTAAGCACTATTTTATTATCTACGGACTCTGTTGTAGAAACTGGACTTTTTTGGGGGGGGGAGGGGGCGAAGAGGACATGAGACTGTGAAGAAAAAGCCGCAGCGTGATGTGTATATTTATTGCATGTTAAACGCGTAAAATGAAATGTCCCCCGTGAGCTCGACAGAACGCGCATCACTTGGCAGGGTCCGCTCCCCCCACCCCCCCACGCAATTGTCGTCAGTTGGTACGGTCGATGTGACGCAATAAGTAAATAATTAAAATAAAAATGTCACAAATTTGTTAATTAAACTACTTGAAAGTTTAGGGATGAGAAAACGGAATGGCCTATTCTCACCCCGGGACTTAGGGCGTGCTGCCTGGCAATTTTTTTTGGACGTCAAGCCCACCGTCCGAGAGCCAATCCCTCGCAAGAGCGCGCGCTGAGACTTTTATATATAAGATATCCTTCCTGAATTAGTTTAATCCCATATCCATCTCAGAATACACTTTTTTTTCCCACATCTATATGTTAATTAAATGAAATTAAGATAATATTTGAACATATTTTCACGTAAACTAAATTAAACTATTTATTTTACCATGTAAGGCCCACTGAGCTATACTGTATATTTATTTTTTCCTGGCCACAACTCACAGCTCAACGAAGTGGCTCATTATGTGGAAAAAATTTTAGCAGCTAACATCTAATTATATATCAAGTACCTGAATGTTATTAAGCGATGCGCTTATTCATATCATGCTGAAAAGGGCGTTTGCGGGTTGAAAATATTTCAGCCCATGTTCAGCAACACGCGCCAGCAATATGCGCACAAATCGATAGAAGCCCTCCTCTGGACACAGAGCTGCGTCAGCCGTGAGGCAAACACAGAAAGGGCTTCTTGATAGTGTTTTATTTTCAGGATGTATCGATAGCATTTACAAAACAGAGTCCCATAGGAATGTGCAAATGTCCAATAGGACATAACGAGGATTTTAAACTTCAAAGGACGTAATAGGATTACTTTCCTCGGGTTTTTTTTCCCCCCATGACTATTGATCCCATGTGTGTGTTTTCTTTAAGCGATGTATACACTGAAAATGTTTCCGTTAAACTCACCCTATACCCTGCCCTCTGCATGTCTACTTGTAGGTGTATATGAAGACCGATATTGCTTCATCGTTTGAAGTTTATATATTTATTTGGAGGAAGTCTAAAGCAATTATACCACTGTGCTGTATAGGTAAAAGGTGAGGATGCAGTCTTGCATTTTCTTCCTCATGAGCAAGCAAGATTGCTAAACATTAGTACCATGTGGTGGAGAGTGTTGAATCATTAAGATAAAGCTCTTTGTGTAACCATCAGAGATACCCACGACCTTTTGTAAGTTTACCAGGTAAGGCCCACTGAGCTATATTGCTATTTTTCAAAAGCGACCTGGCCACAAATGATAGCTCAATGGAGTGGTTAATTACGTGGAAATGTACAGCAGCCAAATACTCAAAACGCATGTTGATTGTAAATGTGGAGGGAAAAGCCAGAGGACCTGGAGAAAAATACACACGACCACGGGGGAATCATGAAAACTTCAAATATACAGGGGTCAGGGTTGGGATCGAACCCACGACCTCCTGTATACCAGGCGAGGTAGTTAACATCTCACCACCACGGCACCGTTGGTAATGCTTTGGGGAGGCCTTCATCTAGCAGTGGATTGATCATGGGTAATGATGATGAAAAGAGCAGATTACCTCTGCAGTGGTCTTTCTTAGATATGAACCTTCGTTTGGACATGAGCCTCGCCTTTCTGTAAGGTAGTGATTTGGTCCTCTAAGGTTTTGAAATTTGAATCTGGGATCGGTCTTCAGAAGCAAGGCTTGATATTTCCAAGCTGTCTGTTAATGTGAAATCGTGACCTTTACTATCCCTTAAAAAAGCCTAATCTTCTGATTGTTTTCGTAAAGTTTACCTGGTAGGTTCTATGCATTATTCACAGTATTTCAGTTGTGCTGTCAAAGGGAAATAACTGCAGACCGCATGCATATGATTGAGTGAGAGATTGATGTATTGATAATCTTTTTATTAAGTTCCATGTTAACATTATTTTCTAATTGCGGGTATTCTGGTGATTGAGATTTAATTAGTTCACCAACACTTTCTTAGAAATCTCATTACCTGTAAGAAGTGGAGTAGAGGACCCTTATAAAATACGAATAAAAGCAAAAGCCTATCATTAACTACTTTCATTAGTCACCCATCTGAATACGTGAATAACATTTAATTAGAGGGGTCAACCCATGGTATTTGTTGAAGACAGGCATTTCTTTTTTCTAGTGTTGACTTTTTTGTTTGTGTTTGTCTCACACACGGTGGTAGTTCCGTGGTTAGTGCACTCTGCTATGAAGACCTGAGTTATATTCCCGCTCATGGCTAACACATCATAAGTGAATATCTGAACCTGTCTTTGCCTCCCTTCTAGGTCGGCTCAGCCTTAAATAAGTACCTGATATCACGTGACAACATGAGCACTGCAGGGTGGGGAGGGGGAGGGGGGGCAGCACTCTATCCCAAGCTGATGGAACAGACAAGAGTCCAAATTTGCCAGTGCATGGCACCTCGCCACCCATGTGAAGGCGGAGTTCCACGACGTGCGTGTGATCCGTCAACCCTCGCCTGCGCGGCGCTGGAGTACAGGTGTGCGCCACCACACGCACGTGACCGGGACGATCTCTGCACGAGTCACCAATCCCAGCACGCAAAGTACTCTGCCAGATGTAGCCATTTTCCATCCACAGCTGTAAAAAAATAAAAAAAACCCGAGCCATTCGGTTTGATTGACGATGGCAATTAACGCATTAGTTCTCACACATCAACACAATAAATACACCTTGATAAATCTGCTGTTGGTGATATGTGCTTCCACACGTAAATAAAATATACATTTAAATTATGCTCTTAATTTACTTTACTTTGTTTTGTCATTCTACTCGAAAATATTTGCCAAATGGAGATAAAATACATCGAAAATATACGTCTATGTGGCCAGCATTCAGGATGTATTTGCACGTGCAAAAATTAGAAGTTTGGCAAAGTAAAACTAATTGTTTATTGTTTCATCATTGCCATGTTTCAACACGTTTCAAGAAAGTGCCTCAAATGAGACTGCAAAGTGGAGCTCAAGATTAGCATGAGCAATACATATGCCATAGACAACCAAGTTCACCTGAAAGTATTTGTTGGAGGGACGCAACTGGGAATTGCTGCCCTATTCCTGGGGCAGATATTGAAACAGAATCAGAATAAGTAATTATATTGGAGGAAAGCGATGAGCTATGAAGCCCTTTTCACCTTATATTCAGTAGGTGGCGAGGACCAACATTCTGAAATGAATAAGTGTACTGTATGAGAACACGTTTGATTGCTTTTGCAACAAAAAAATGAATAACGAAATGCAAAATCGCAATCTGCCTGAAGGAGACGATTTGTAATCAGGGCGTACTACCAGCTGTGACATATGGATCAGACAACGTAATTTATTATGTATGTTAATTCATGCCTCTCACTCTGCAAATCTATGCTGGAGGGAGATAAAACTTTGCTCAATAAATGAGCATCGTAAGTTGCATATTATTTGTCACATTTAAGTAATTAATGTTTGTTGTGTTGGTTAGCAATTTTTTTTTAAAAATGCATCTTTGACCAAACAGCCTGATTCTCAAATTATTTCTGATTTTAATTGTGAGAGTTGTATTACATGAGTAGAAAGATATATGTAATTATGTTACCATAGCCAGGGCAATTTTACAACGTTGCTCATGGGGAATGCCTGAATAAGGTAGATAAACGTGATCCTCATGTCTGCAGCAGAATCCCAATGATGGACTGAAAGCATGTTCTTGGAGATAGTGTGGGGCTGACTCAAATATATTTTGTTAAAATGCACACTCTGCTCTTAAACATGCAAAATAATAACTGCAAATTATATTGCCTGCGATTGCAAAATATCAAAATAAAACCACCACAACGTATTATTCAGATATGCATTAAAATCATGCTGCACTATTTCCATGTATTTGTTATCGCATTATTTCTGTGTTCAATTGTGCCCTATTGAAATAATTGATGCTTAGTTTTAGTAATGGCGCTTAGAGCCTTGCATGAACAGAGCTTGCGACCATAATATGGATACTATTAGTCGATGCTTCTCCAGTTACAGAGGTATTAGCATTGGTTGATATTTACACAAAGTGGTTCTCACGCTACATAAAAAAGTAACAAGTATATATTTTATGCAAGTATTATGAGTATAAAACTGTTTAACAATAGAGCATCTACACGGGCATCGCATGAAGAAGGTAA